GTTGGCCTCAGCCCATCGATCCAGCCTGAAAGTTGAATTATCAAGTACCAATGGGTTCCCATTGATGGAAATTACAGCATATTTGGAGGGCTTACTAAACAATGCATAAATCCCTCGAAGATTTTTCACTTTTAAAATTGATTCCTAAGGGAGTTAATCTGAATTTTATTTGAAAGAAAACATTTTCCATCATTTACAGAAGTCTCCAGACTTTGGTGTAGATACTAGCAGGCTCTGAAACTTCACTCAGAACCCATGCCGGTGTTAACTTGACACTTTAACCTTTGGAGAGAGTATGGACACTCATGTTAAATATGCACTCAGGCTGAATATGCAGACTCAAGTCAAGGATCTTTTACTGGAACCACACAGATATTTTCAACTAATGCAGCTTTTTGTGTCATGTGTTTTCATTCTATCGAGTAACTGAAAACCAACACTTTTTTGGGGCCTGTGTTGGATCTTTTTGTGACAGTACCTAGATTAAAGCTGAATAAACTAATTTTTGCAAGAGCCATGTAGTAGGGGACATAAATACTTTTATGGATGTGGATGGAACAGCTCATGGAAGGAGACAATGGGAATAGAGCCATTCATTGCTACATCACTGGTCCAGACAACATCCACGGCCACAATGCATGAAAGTGGGTGCCTTTATCTCAGTATTTGGTAATACGCAATACAGGTAGCTATCACCCAACCTAAAACCAACAACCTACGCTCTAAAAATTAAGCACAAACCAGACACAAACAGAATCTCAGCATACTCAGTAGGACATGAGCTGAGGGACTTCAGCACAACTCTCTGACCTTCTTCACCCTGAAAGCGTCTCTGTTTGATATCGGTACAGGAAGGCCCATCTATATTAATTTTCTTATTCCCATTAAGACAGAAGTGGGCTGGAAAAATGGTTTCTTTTCTCCATTCAGTGGTTGGCAAAGTATGAAGAAATCTGCAGAGCTGAAAGACAGCTCAAGCATACTAACCAAACACCACCACATGCAGATGGCTTTGCAGTTTACATCACTGCACTGTGAGACTGCTTAAACTGCGGCTTTCATTTACACAGCTGATTGGCAGCCAGCAAGAGCATTCTGATCCAAAACCAGAATACTGCTGTTAAGAAGCCAGTAAAACATCCACAACCCAATTTTTATATGCAGCATGATTTCTAAGCTTCCATTAACTCCAAAGTTACAGATGCTGAGTACCCCTGAAGCCCAGAGCACTGCTCATTTCCTCCCCACCCACCAACCTGGAGGAACCATAAGTGAAGAGTGCAGAAGGAAGGTCATAAAGTGGAAACTGCCTCAGCCTTTAAAGAAGAGTTGTCAATGAATAACACTACTAACCGGCAAATAAACTGTGCTTCCCTGAGTCTTTCTGATAGAAATTTTGAGCACATATAGTTGCCTGATAATTCAGAAATACAACACAGCATTTAATGATATTTCAACCAAACCAGAAAAAAAAGTTCAAAGACATTGTAAAATAAAATAAAAAAAAAATCCAAACTAAAATGTCAGCAATTGTAACACTGTTTTGTTGTCAGCTAAATTAATCTGCCTGTTGCTATACCATGGCTGATTATATGGTGTGAGATAAAAGTTGTAATTTTCTCATGAGTGTAGTGTCCAGCACTAACTGCATGTGCACTTTGTGTACCCTCCATGGCCTTTCAAGCATACCACAGAAATCACGGTCATTTCAAGCAGAGAAAAAAAAAATTCTCTTAATGTAACACTTCCAACAGGATGTAACCATTGGCAATGAAAATCTATATATGAAACTTTTGGGGGGCCATGAAGATATTTTCACAAGAATATGGCCAAATAAAGGAATTCTATAGGCCTAAGTCTTGATGAAGACTGCATGTGATTTCCACAACAGATACATTCTTGCTCTTAACGTCCTCTCCCCTTGCAAAAGTTACCATTTTTTTGTGTGAAACCTAATATACTTACTAGCCTTCAGACACACAGAGAGAGAGAAGAACCAAGAAATTCAGTACATTAGAGAAAAAAGATTTCAGAGTGATTCAGTTGCTGAAGTGAGAAAGGAGCTACTAAAATAATTGTGTAACTATGCAGAAGGAGCAATTGTACCTAAGTCAAGACTTTACTGGATGATCTACAGGTATCACACTGGAAATTAATTTTTGCCTTGACTCCATCTTTTCTCATCGGCCAAGCTGGCTTTATGACTAAATTCAGATGTCTTAACTGAAGTCAATATCTTGTGCAGAAAGAGCTGCTAGCAGATCCCTGGACTGCTTTCTTGTACCATGTTGGTTAATATAACTGCCTCTTACACTCTCTGCCTATCCTTATACACCACTTTCCCACAGAACAGAATCAAAATATAAAATCTCAAGTATACACATGAGAAAAACTTATGCTATCAGTCCAGTTAAGTGTATAACTAGCATCGAAAATTACGTCTTTTTGTGTGCTCTTGCACACAAACAAGTAACGTGGAGTCATAGGCAGGTAAAGGCTACCTGAAGGAAAACCAACATCATTTCTGTGGTACACTGATAAAAACATTTTGTTACTCAAGTTCTCAGGTTACACCTGTGGCCAGCACACTGGAGTTTGAACGGATGAGGATGCACCAACTCACATCAGAAGTCTAATGTTTAGAGATCAGTGTGTTGAGATGACAGCATAGCTGCAAATAGTCATGAAGTATGGTTCCACAGTTTCCAGTCTCTATCAGAACATACACAGGGAATGGTGATTGTAATGCCCCCTGAAGTTTATCCTGGGGCAGTTTTACATGCAGATGCATGTGTGGAAGGCAGAAGCCTCACTTCCTCCACCTTCTGTTACCACAACCACGTCAGACAGACCCTGCTGGAGCACCGCGAGAAATGCAATTTGTATCTCCAAGAGGATAATAGTAATAGTAATCACCAGTAATCATTTTTTGTATCTCAAAACCAATCTTCATAGCAGAAACCTCCACCTTCAGATTGGAAAATACAGTAAGGCTCCCAGCCCCCAGGCGTGGAGTACTCTGTTGACTACATTAGACACTTATCTACTTTAGTACTTAACAAACTCTTCTTTTTGCTTCCTGAAAGAGAGGTAAAGCTCCTCTTTGCCCCACCAGACTGACTCAGCATCCAGACCTTGCTGAAGAGTTACAGTGCCTCGTTCACCACTTAACATGTGTTAGCCCTTCTTTCTGCTACGAAATCAGACTACAGCAAAATATGGTTTTGTCCATGGCACTGACAGGCAGTAAAACATGGAAACTAAGTAGTCAAAATATCAATTATTTTCTTAAAAGTTAAATAATTTGTTTTACCTATCATTGTATTTCACCTCCTCTCCATTCTTAGCCCAGCTGATGGTGGGCTTTGGATTTCCCACCGCTTCACAATGAAGCAGCACACTCAATGTGCCACTGGCTAGAACCACCGTCTGTCCCAGGTGGGTAACAACCTCTGAAGCAGAAAGTTGTTGTGCTGCTGAAATCTTTCGGAGGATGGCAGGCTTTTGATGAGGTCTGCGCAAGCCATTTGCCAGGTCTACAGAGGTGGGAAGAAATGCTTCAGCAGATGATGTCCTCAGGGAGCTTGTAAATCCAGAAACATGTCTGTGGAGAGGGTACTCCACCGAGGCTGAATCTAGTCTTTGTCTCGATGTTTTAAGGACAGAGTCCTGGTGCTCCAAGTGGCTCTTGAAAACCTCATGAGCCAGCTGCACAACAAGCTGCTCAGTGTAGACATCTTTAAGCTCCTCAGGCTGTTGAGACAAATTCCTTATGATGTCATCCAAGCGTTTCTGCTCGGTGACCATAGTCAATGGCAGGCTATACTCCTGACTCTGGTCCTCTTCTGAGGATGCGTTTCTCTCTGTGGATTCCTGGGCTTCCCAGGACTCCAGATTTTCCCCTGGCCAGCCCCTATGCTGTAGCAGTCTTGAGACAATATTGTCATACCACCTGCTGGGGTCAGCAAGGTGCCCTCGCTTTTCAGCCTTGCTCCCATTGAAGAGAATCCCGTTGATATGTTTGTCCTCTGTTCTCAAGGCTTCATTTAAGCTGGCCTTTCTCATGACCTCTTCCTCCCTAATACCAGTTGGCTGCCCAGCAATGATCTTCTTGTTACTTCCAATTAGTTTAATGACAAAATGCTCCTGGGCTGGCCCTGCTGTGCAGGTGTATGTCCCGGTGTCTGAAGGCTTCAAACGGTGGATTTTCATATATCCATAGGGCGCAATGGTGATGTGAGCTGAGCTGACGAGCCTCTTTTCATCCTTCTCCCAAGTGATCATTGATTTCCGGAACCTCCTCGTGGGGCATCGGAGAATAACCGAGGTTTTGGGCAGCAGGTAGGCATACCCACCCACAATAAAGTGTAGCTTCTTCTGCTTCCTTGTCTGGATGTAAACTTTCTTTACGGTCATAATTAGGGGCCTTTGCTTATGCGCTGGCCTGTTGTGCCCTGAAATATCATTAATACTATTAGTATGTGATACTGTTAAAAAAACCAAGCAGTTTACTTTGGTGCTGTCAACATTTGACCCACTAGTCAGTTATGGGAGAAACTGACCACCAGTTGCTGAATGTTAAGTTGGAGCAGTCAAAATAAGAGGAACAACAAGGCGCACTTTACAAATGAAAAAGTAGTCCTGCCCAAGGTACATGCAGAAACCAAAAGGCCAGGGACAAAAGCTTTACGGGAGGGAGAAAACTTGAGCAGAAATGTAATTCTTGTTGTTAAAGTACTTAAATGAAGATTGTTGCTTAATAAATACATTGAAAAGACAAGTGTTTACCATTCAAACCCTCAAAGGAAACATGATCTTGCAGCTCACAGTGGTAAGGAAGAGTGAAAGTGCTGCTACCTCAGGGAGTAATGTTGAACACAACAAAACTGTATGGACTAGGCTTAAAAATATGGTAAATACTATTAAAGTGCAGTATTTCAGTGTGTCCTTCCAATTTCCAGATCTCTATGACAGAGATCTTTGTATGAAGCACTAAATAAAGCAGCATATGTATATTATTAATAAATACCATGCAACATTTGGTCCCAGCTTTGGTTCTGAATGTCAGATCTTTCTTCCCTGACATACCCAACATTTATCAGTCTGAGAGTTCATAGTCTGCTTTAAGCTGAAACTAAGCTGGCTTTCGAGCTTTCACATATCCACTTGGCTCACTGCAAGCCAAGGAAGGGCATACAGGAAGACTACTGCTCTTGTGAAGGGCAACAACAAATGCATGAAATACCAACATAAAATACATCTAACTTACATTGCATGGTTCATTAGAAATCCCAGGTTATAGAGGGTTCTGAGTAACATAACAAAATAATAATTTTTTAAATGATCTTCAACAAAATCCCGTACCAACCATTTTCTTTTCACCTGTTCAGCAGAGAGTTTTTGTGCAGCTGCTCTCAGGCTGCTGTGCTGTATCTCTGAGCCTCTACATTCCAGTTGTGAAATTTAGATCCAGATTTGGGTCAGAATTTTGAGCCAGTTCTTCCAGAAACTAGTAGCTCTCTTCCAGCACGTTGGCTCAGACCCAGCTCCAATGGTAAAATTTATAGCTGTCATCCACTGACTTGCTTTATTGCTAAACAAAGCATACTTGTTCACAGAAAAACTCAGCAGCAGCTGCCGCTCTGCAAGACTGAAAACCACTAGTGCATTAGAACATTATGGAGCAGATGACAGCATGGATTTCTTAATGATGGACATCCAAGCCCCCTTTCCCCAGACACTCTCAAGCATCTTTTCCACTTACTTGCACAGATGCCTACTGCACAGGGCCTGATCAAGGATGAGAATGGCAAAGGTGGGCACAGTGAGGAATTGATGACAACAAACCCTCCTGTTTTCAGCATCTTTCTGCAAATGGCATTTCGACTCTGGGTGCCCTCTCCACAGCTCACCGAACACTAGGAACAGAATAGGAAACATTAGGAACAACGTGTATTAAAAGCAAAAGGGTGCTCCTTGTCACACACACCCCCTCACCTCCCATATCCACACTGCATACTCATACCCCGGTATGGATCAGTTAGAGCTTCCAAAACATCGCAGTGGAATAATGCAGAGCAGCACCTGGCCATTCAGGTACAAACAGTGCAGGCACAGTAAGGAGATGAAATATCAGGTATTTTCTGTCCTTTGAGCTTCGAATCTTCCCATGCTCCCTTTAGCACTTCTTTCACGCAGATGGTGTCCCTTGTTTTAATGGTACTGTGCTACAGTACAAAGCTTGTCTTTGCAATTTTTTTCTATATGTCTGTGTCTACTGTCTGGAAAAACTCCTGCTCATAGCCAAGAGCAGACCACATTGAGTTGCATTTCACTGATACATCCTGTTCTGCTAAAATCTGGCCTGAACTTAATCTTTGAGCTTTACCGTTACAGAACTATTAGAAATGATAAATGGATGAGTGTTTCAGATATCATTGAGTTACCTCAGCCTGGTAGTTAGCACACATGGCTTAGATAAGAGCATAAACCCTCTAATACCAGACTGTGGTGCTCAATACACAGGTGGGCGTTGTTTGATGGCATTCAGCATGCCTACTTTATTTCATATTTATCTATACAGCATCACAGAAAGTGAGAATACAGGCAGTACAATTGCCCTGGGACCCAGGCAGCAGTGTGTATATGTGCTGGAAAGTGGGTTGAGTGCTGTAAAGCTGGTAGCACAAAGATACACGTGCGCTTCTGTTACATGTAGGTATACACATGTGGTAATGGGAATTGGAAATTAAGTGAGGGGGAGAAAACTCACTAAGGGTAAGAAAAACAAAAACATGGCAGCCTTCAAATGGGGAGGAGAGAGAGAAGTCAACAGAAACCATGTAGCACCTTCTTGTGAAGGAGGACAGATTGGGAACAGAATTGCCATCTTCACTGCCAGAATGGCTATGTGTCTCCTGGCAGCAGACTTCATGAGAATATCCTCTTTGAGCAAAATGTCAAGACAGATCAATATATGAAGGGTGCAGGTGGGACAGTTCCATGAGATGATCAATGTTTCTTTCACAATTAAGACCATTTCCACCTCCTTCCATGAAAGAGAACTGGGAGAGCAGTGGTAGAGATTGCAAGATGGGGAATGATTTTCATACTGGCATTAAAAGATCAAATTATATTTTCAGTTGTACTGTCATAAATATAAAGGGAATTTTTCTTAAACTATATGGAGCCAGAAAGGGAGCCTGGGGAAGTGCAAGAGACTTCAGTAGAGTGAGTTTGTTTTGCCATGTCTACATTGAAGGAAGGAAGTAGCTAGCTAACATTGCAAAAGCAGTGTCCTAGAACGAAAAATGCTTGGTGTCTGTAATAATGTGCCTATAGCAGACTGCAGAAATCCCTCCCTCCTGTTCTCTGCATCATAGGGAAAGGTTGAAAAGCCCCCAAGAAGAAAAGACTATTGACCTCAGAACAGCCAGGCTTTGTGAAGAAAAAGCATTTAGATTGAGGGAGTAAAGATTGCTCTTCATTGATGCCTTGGATGAACGTAAGTATAGGCATGGACAGAGGCAGGGATTTATTGTTTTGAGCATTGCTTGTGTTTACGTTGTAAGGGAGGTCTTAATGGTTTGGCTGAATGGCTAAACCACATCTGTGGAGGCAATCTTCAAAGAGGAACATTGAGCTAGTGATCACATCCCCTACCTGGATGATAAGGACAGATTACAGGACAAAATTGGGCATAACATGCTTTATGTAGTCTGAGCTCATTTGGCTCCTCTGTCCCAAGTGACTGAGGAACTTCATCGCCAATAACAGCACAATAATTATGCATACAAGTAGCATACCTGTGTCCAGTTGGAGAGAAGCCACTCATTGGGACAATTCTCATTTTTGCAGGCTTGTTGGCTAACTGGCCTTGGCGTGGAGCAGAAGGTTTCTGGAAGCTCTAAGAGGCTTCCGTCTGCCAGGCGCTGCTTACAAACTGTATCTCGCTTCTGGACACCACTGCCACAAGTCTGTGAACACTGTGGGAGATAAGAGTCAGCCATCTTACATCACACTTGCACTATGGCAATTTACAGCAAAAATTACTTGTGAATTTGGGTAGAAATCCACACTCAGTTTTGGCCAAATAGAAAATAAAAAAAAAAAATTTCAGGCACATCAAGGCAGACTTCTTTTAAAAATGTCAAAAATATTTGGGAAAGTGGAAGCAGCTTATTTTGCCAATATTTAGAAAAACTGCTTCACTATTTCTGAAATGTTCTGGTTTCAGGAGTTTGTGCAAAAACATGGAAACAATGGGTTGGAATTGCAGTATGGAGGTGGAAAAGTTGTCCTTTCCTGTAAACCACCAACTGGAAAATGAGACACTTGCACATGATGTGGAGGATCTACATCCTAATGTCTGTGCCTGAGCTCTGACTTGTTACTGGCAGTGCCAGAGAGAGTGGAAAAGTCTTCTCCAGCAGTAGATGATCCAAGATCTTAATTTCTAGGATTTGATTATACATATTAGGTAACAGTAGCTATGAACTAAATACTTAGCTTGAACGAAATATTCAAATTTAGCTTGTTAAAAAAAGGTTTATATTAGCAAGAAAAACAAAAACAAATTGAGAGTGTGATAAATAAAAATTTACCCAGTTTATCACTTTGTTTTTTCTTCCTTTTGTAATTTTCTCATTTCTCATTTCTGATCTGCATGAAGTCTATCTGCAGCTCAAAACTTAACTATTCAGCCCGGAATCCCTGTCCTTGAAGACTTCTTGCATTATGGCATTTCTCTGATTTTTAATTCATGTGAAAGCTGCAATCTGCTGTTAGTCACAGTAATTTGCTTATCAGGTTAATATAATAAACCGTTAAACATCCATGCAGCCCTTTTGTATTTATGGCTGTCATGACAGCAGTGTATACTCTTTCCAAAAAGTAAGGAGGAAGGTTTATTTGAATCAAAGTAAAGTAGGATGATTAATATCCAGAGAACCTACCTCCCTTCTCTCTGTAATGTAAATATCCCTCTCTGTATCCATTTTCTACCCAAGGAGGGCAGGAAATTTTGAACAAGCAAATTTAATAGCATTCCTGAGTCTTTTTTGTAAACTTGGTTGCTCAGCCCTTTTTCCTGGGGATCTTTTCCCTCAGGCTGGTAACAGACTCCTAGTTCTTCTGCTCAGTTCAGACAGCTCAACTCCTTTTCTTGCTTCTTCTTCCACTACACAGAGCTGGCACTACACTGACATGACTAGGAGTTGCTTATAGCTTGAGACATGGGCATTATGCCTGAGAAGCAGAAAACCATATGAAGAACTATTAAAACTTACACTCAAGCAGTTAAAAAGGAACTGTTTTAGAAAATCTTGCAGTCATGAAAGGCCCTTATTTCTTAGATAGAGAGAGCTGCATAAACTGTAATGCTAGCCTGATTATTTAGGATATACATTTTCCTTGACAGACAGACAGGAAGTGCGGAAAGACATATTTATATTCAGTTTAGTTTGTTCTCTAATGAGTAAAAATAGCTTTTGTCCTACTTATTTAGAATGCTACAAAGCTCAAAGGCTTCAAAAAAATTAAACATGTAAACCAATACTTTAGTTTTCAACAAAAGAAAATATTTATCAACCTTTCATTCAAGGACAATTCATTCCTGAGGAGAGAGTAAATTTAAAAAAAAAGATTAAAAATATTTCAAGATTGCCTAAGGACTGTTATCATATACCAGAGCCAAAATGGGTTAGGCATTGTATGAATACATCAAAAGCATGTTCCTTCTATCAATCAATAAAATCCCAGAAATTCTCCCTGCCCTTCCATTACTACCAGATAAAAGAGTAGGACAAAACAGATCTTTTCTTGCTTCTTGCCCTTCAGTCGCTTACATGGCTTTGTTCCGTGAAGAATAACTTGCTACTCAACACCATACTCTATTGCTAAGCATCAGAGAGAGCCAAACGCAGTAATGAGATTCCTCCTTGTCCACGGGAATGCTTTTGTAGGACAGTCCTGGATTACTGCATTGGAGCTGTGCCTGTACCTGTATTTCACCTCTGGAGCCTTCACCACCCGGGGGGTCTTTGCTGATTTTTCCCTAGTGGAAGCTTCTAGCCTTTGCATTCTTCCAAGAAAGGGGGTAATTGATGACAGCAACATCTGCTTGTATTATAAAGGCAATATGAAAAAACAGTGTTTAGAGGATCCTCATTCGGACATATCCCATCTGAATAACATGCTATATCTCTCTGCTCTTCAGAAAGATCTCATAGCACCATTACAACAGAGAAAGGTGCTTTTATGACAGAGTGGTTTCATCTCACCCACGCCAGTAGGTGAAGCATGGCTGTTAGAGCTATGTCTCCTCATACTCCTGCTCCTCACAGGTTCTGAGCAGAGCCAAGCCCAATATCCTCTGACATTCCTTTACAGGGGATGTGGGACTTTGTCAGAGTACCAACTTCCAGAGTGGCATATTCCACATTGCTACTTGATTACGCCTAGTTCAACAATTAGCTTAGGGAAACATGAGGCAAGGCTGACATCAAAGAAGACAATCTATACTTCCAATTCTCCCAGCCAGTCATTCCTGGTTTTCTGCTGCCTTTTCGCATATGCTGGTGTAAGCATTTGTTTGGCTGCATAGTGAACCATGAGTGGAAAACTAATCTAAGCTAAAGCTAATTATATTTCTGTCTAGCTTTAACCAGGACCACAAACTTGTGGAAAAAAGGCAGTTATCAATGAAAAATAAAGGGCTAGGCAATAGTTGCTCAGCATCATAACTGTTACCAGTTTGGGGTAGTAGCTGAATGTTTGAAAGGCTGTCATTTTACAGTCAGTCCTGCTCACAGGGACAGTTGAAGAAGGGGTGCTCCTACCCCTCTGCTCTTCCAGGTGGTTTAATTTTGCACTGCCCTCTGCTCAAGCTGGTCGGACTCAGCAATACAAGTTTTGGCCTTACTCTCAAAAATTAATTCTCTGCTATCACTCTACAGTAAGATAAGGCATCTGCAAAGGGAGTAAACATTTTTCTCTCAGCAGGTCTTTCAGTTACTCTCCGAGGCCTGACACTTGAAGATTTAGAAAGCACTTTTTACAACGTGGAGAAAAAATGTCTAGTAAAATATCTGCAAATGTTACCATGCTGACTTTTGTCAAACCATTGTTCTAATTATCTTTGGAGCACGGATAGCACCGAGCAGCTAAAAAAGAATGCTGGGACTAAGATTATGGTGCTTATTGAGTAATAAAATGAAGGAGGCTGAAGATTTACTAATGCATGTCTCCCATTTGAGTTCTGCAGAGTAGATATTTATAGGGCCTTGTAAAAATGAAAGCTTATATCCACTTTCCTCCAGAAGCACACTACTGAAAACAAGATAAACATCCTAATGGATTTAGCTAAGAAACAGAACTATTTAAAAATAAATAGTCTTCAATCTGTAAAGAGAGATTTAAAAAATTGCTTGGAATATTACAACACTGATAATTATCATGTGTTTATCTGCCAGGAACACTGGGGCTTCTAAAGGCATGTAATTCAGAAAACACTTCCTTAAGAAGCATAAAAGGCCTTAGAAAAGAAAACATTGCTCATTGCAGTTTAAATCTTTTGTTTGTTTGTTGCCTGAAACTGTCGTGAGAAAGCACTCTTGAAAGCACAATGAACTGCACAGATGAGACCAAAGAAATGGCTTTATACCAGGCTGTGTGGAGAACAGATGTTACCCTCTAAATGTGGGTGAAGCCAAGAAGGCCAACAGCATCCTGGCCTGTATCAGAAATAGTGTGGCCAGCAGGACTAGGGAAGTGATCATCCCTTTGTACTCTGCGCTGGTGAGGCCGCACCTTGAATACTGTGTCCAGTTTTGGGCCCCTCACTAGAAGAAGGACATTGAGCTGCTGGAGCGAGTCCAGAGAAGAGCGACAAAGCTGGTGAAGGGCCTGGAGAAAAAGTCTTACGAGGAGCAGCTGAGGGAGCTGGGGTTGTTTAGTCTGGAGAAGAGGAGGCTGAGGGGAGACCTGATCGCCCTCTACAACTACCTGAAAGGAGGTTGTAGTGAGGTGGGGGTTGGTCTCTTCTCCCCGGTACCTAATGATAGGACAAGAGGAAACGGTCTCAAGTTGTGCCAGGGGAGGTTCAGGCTGGATATTAGGAAGAACTTCTTCACTGTTAGCGTCGTTAAGCATTGGAATGGGTTCCCCAGGGAGGTGGTGGAGTCACTATCCCTGGAGGTGTTCAAAAAACGTTTAGATGTGGTGCTTCAAGATGTGGTTTATTGGGTTTAGCGGGCATGGTGGCATCAGGTATACGGTTGGACTTGATGATCTTTGAGGTCTCTTCCAACCATAATGATTCTGTGATTCTATGATTCTAAGCCTTAAACAACCTTCCTTAGGGCAAGGAAGGCACCTTCCCCCAGGGCCCTCTATCTCCCCATATGTGGGGAACCCTCTCAGGGATTTGGGGAAACTGGGGGTGGTGTAGGTCCCTTAACGCAAGAAAAAAAAATCCTCCTGCAGACGACTTCTGCTGGATTGCTCCATGACAGCTCTGCTACATGGCTGGAGCTCACCTCCAGGAGAAGTCTCAGGCACTTAAATCCTGTTCAAACAGTCTTTACCCTCACACACCCCAGAAGGCAACAGCTGTAACTATCCCTAAGTGCAACGCACTGGCATGATGGTGCAGGTTTTCACCTGGAGGTCATCCATGGGGAACTTGTGTGAGACTGAACTTGCGAGGCCTGGCTTTCCTACAGGGTGGAAATAACTTTACAGAGGTTGGTGGTGCAAAGAAGAAAGACAGATGTCTTTAAAAAATGAGAAAATGGAAATTAATTTTGATGGATTTGGCTTTCTTTTCTTGCACTCTACTCATCCAAACAGAGGCAGAAGACAGTAGGCAGAGATGTACATTTTTTGCACTGTTTTCTCCTGGTGAAAGGTAAGAACAGGGAGTATTCAGTGCCCATGTAGTCAGGAGCTACGTACACAGCTGGCCAGCCTGAAAAGCCTGTGGAAGAAAGCGCAGAGGAACTACAACGTGACCTTCATTAAGCTGCAGCAATGAATTGCAGCACAGGCTCTCTCTCTTCACCCACCCCAGGGAAGGCAGCAAGTAACACAAAAGATGTGAATTGAGCAGTTTGATTTAATTCCTGATCACATGCTGATTAAAGCCTTTATACTTAATTGAGCTCCCTCCTCGCTAAGATCTGCTACACCTTTCAAAAAAACGGCATATTTGAGAGTCCCTGAGCAGATACAACAATGGCTGAAACATTACTTTATCCAGGCAGAAATATGCGTGTTTACACTGTTGAGGAAGATGTTCAAATCTTGAAAAAAACTTGTTTGGAAATTGCTCTACTGGAAACTATTTTGGTACCATTCCAGGGTGGCCTATAGCTAACGGTCATTGTTAGCAGAAAGTCAATTTTTCAGCTTGCTGTAATGTATATCTCTTCTGGTTGTTCAAATAAACTTACAGAAAATTGCTTTCTGTAAGGACTCTGGCCAATTACAGGATTTTAACAAACATAGGCACTCCTAGCATATCCTAAGTTTGAAATGCCTGACTTTATTACATTATGTACTATTAGAGTAATATTTGCTATTTACAAATAGACCATTTATGTATGAGTATAGCCTAGAAATATTCAAAAGTACAACTAAACAAATATGTGTATGCAAGTATAGATAGACAAATTAAAGCATAAAACATCTCTAAATTGTTTAAAAAAAGGGACTAATGCTGTAGGCTAGTTATCCATCTTTGATGGAATATCAGGCTGGCATAAATTTTTGTTGCTGGAATGGCTGCCCAAACCCAGAGCTCTCCCATGAAGTATAGCTTCACAGACTTATCTACTTCATTAGGTAAGCACATCAACATTTCCCTGGCTGTTAAGTAAAGAGCACATTTTACAGATGGAGACTGGGTAGGCATATGTAAGCATCATGCCAAGTGCTCATAGTTTTCTCATAGGGTGGAATGAATCTTTGCACCCAGTAGAAGTGAAGATTTAAACAGGCCTTTTGCTTGCCCTCCACCACACAGCAAATTTTTCCTTTACTGTTGACAATAGGGCAGGATCCTTCCTTCCTGTGCAGTATTATATCCAACAGAAGCATCTTTAAGTCATCTTGAATTGCACAAGTGTTTTCATTTGCAATCAGATGGCAGCAAATAAACTTGTTTCAGGTTGCTTTCCAAAGACACAAAGCCTTGTCCAGATCCATTGTGTAGACAGCAATTTTTAGCCTTAGTGTGATACGGCATCCGTCTCCCAAAGGGAAGTGCCTAACACCCATTTGTGACTGTGAAGGATCAGGAGTGCTTCTTGTTCTAAACTAAATTATTATTTGAGAACATACAGAACACCCAACACACTTTAGATATTCTCTCCTCCTTGATCCTTTGTATTCTTAGAAACCTTGGCATTGCTAACCCAAATCCACTCACTGCAGCTGACCACCAGATATTTTTATCTGGAATCTGTAGCCAGCTGTTAAGAGTTTCCAGTAACTTTGCATTAGAAGTAACTATAGTCATTATTTACCTCTGGAAATGTTGATGCATTTTTTTTAAACAGCGAAAAGGCACACTTTTTCAGACTTTTAATGGCTCATCGGAATGATTCATGAATGTTCTTGATGGGCTAGAGCATATAATGACTATTTTTAACAGTCATAAAATGAGAATATACATACATTCTTACCTCTTGCCATTCTGTAGGATACCAGGAGGGAGGGCAGTCAAAGCGATTGCAGGCTTGCACAAGGGATGGTTTAGGTTTATAGCACAATTCATCTGCCAAAATCACGGTCTCGTTAGTCTCTCTTGATAGCAGATGAGAACAGAAGACATCTCGTGTCTGCAGTCCAACCCCACATGTAAGACTGCAGGTACTCCATTTCCCAGTCTCCCATCTGTGAAGGGGTCAGGAGAGAAAACCTTCAGCACAGAATAAAGTCACCTTAATTTTTCTCTTTTAATAATGACAGATGGAGTGAAGAAGCAGCAAATGAAAGAGAATTCTCCCTCTCTGATTACCATCGCCTTTCTTGTAGCTGCAGAATAGGCTAAGAAGAATATTTACTGTTCCTCTGCATTTTCAGTTCCTGTCAAAAGCTCTCAGACATCAAGTCTTTGGGAGTCCTGCAATACCATAGGAACAGTTTTACGTCATAAATCAAAAGTTTTTGGTGTGCAGGAGCCTGGCCAATGTATTTTGAGACTGAATAGATTTAATTAGCTGGGTTTTTTTTCTGTCAACAAAAAAAATGAAGATATTAACAAAGTCCATCAAAGGAATGTGTCAGTGAATTGTTGAGCAGGAATTTCTTCAGGAAGAGCCAGTTGTGGTGTTCCTGACTGACTTTTGCTTATGAGGTAAGGAGTGCTAAGGCCTTGAGAGATGCAATGGGAGAGCAGGAAGAACCTCTTCAGCTCCTGGGTGAACACCTAGTATTAAGCCAGCCCTTCTCAGCACTAGCTGTGTAAATGCTGCACCAACAGGATTGTTGACTGAATTTCAGTCTTCATCACATTAAACCCAGATTTTTTCTGTTTAAGCTGTACTGAATACAACCCCTAATTCTGTCAGCCGTACACAGAAAATTGCTTAAAATACTAGATCTTCCATTCACGGTATGTTAGAAGGCACTTCAGAGAAATGCAGAAATGTGTACACAAAAAAGTCCTATATTCTGAATGAGAATATAAGAAAATACTCTTCCCATCAACTTTATGCAAAACACCACACTGACCTGGACATACTCCCACATCCAAAATGAAAGCATGAGAGCCAGATACCGCCATTTTTTCTAATCCTAAGAATACCTTCCTTTCCTGCATGACGTTATTGAAACTGGTTGCTGGGGGAGTAAGTTAAACATTCAGGACAAAGAAGGCTCAGAGAACCTGCCCTTGAAGAACGCAAAGCCAGGCAGAAACTAAAAAGACCAATTATGGAGAAAGACACCCTCAGGCTCCAAGCAGGATGGAGGCAGACAATGAAGGGAAGTTATGAAACATGTCAACAGCATGAAGCAGAATTTGTGGAAGATGCAGAGGAAAAACACTCTGACAGTCTGAGATCAGCAGTCAATGGAAACTGCTCAGCACATTTAAAATGCATCATGTTGATAAACATATTATGGAAATAATCATTCAAGGTTGTGTCTACAGTCACAGAACAATTCTAACTTCTTTATTTATTTTATAAAGTTATTTTGAGTATCTGTTCCCTCCCTCTCAGTAAGACCCATAACAAATTGAAACAGCTAGTAGGTAAGAAATATTTTTTCCTTCCTAGATGACAATGCTGATGGATCAAAATGCCACATTGCCCCTCTTCTGTGCTTCATCTGCTGGTGATATTCTCTGATTTTATAATGGGATAGGATATATCCTAAGCATCACTATAAACACTAATGACACTGTGGTTTGCTTTTAGATGACAGCCTTGGTTCTGTTAGTAGCAACGACAAAAATCTCTTTAACCCTTTCTAACAATGAACACATTTTGCATATTGAGTTAGAAGTTGCAATGGCCACTGTCCAAGTTGCAATACACTGAAGGCCTCTAAAGCCTGACACATGTACCAGGAGCTATTTAGCAGTGGAATAGGAGTGACATCTGGCAGCCAGTTAAGCTAAACTGGAGTATGTTCTCCATATGAATGTTATTGGGCAAGAGGTCTTCCCAGATTTTCCCACAAAATTGTCACTCAGAATTAATATGGATATCAGCTATCCTTCAGTATTGGCACAATCTAAAATAAGATATTTGAGTAGGTGCTGAAAAGAAGGCATTTTCTTATTTCAGAATCTATTTTGATACATGGTTAGTTGCCAGAGTTTCTTTTATTAAAGTGATGGTAATAGCTGTTGCCTCCAGCAACCCATTGTTTGTTATTGGTATAAGTCCACAATGTTTCTGTTGGCAGTTCACATCTCAGTGGCTAACAGGCCACATAAACTCTTTGGGCATCTTGGCTTCTGCAGAAAAGGCTGTCTATTTCTTCTTCCAGAAAGAAATGTTGTGCTTCAGTAAAGAGAAAGGATTTGTTTTTCCAGTGTGTGAAATTTCTGTTGCAGGTTGCTTCTGTTGCCTTACACATAACATCAGTTTGTTCACAATTCTTTCCAGCTGCTTTAAACAGGCGATTCTGTACAGGTGCTCAGGAAATAGGAGGTCAAATTCTCACTTACCCTTGTACTTTCACAGTTCCCAGTGGCTTTTACGGGCTTTCATAGATACAAAGTAAAGAATGTAGAGTAGAGCAAGGACCTGCAAAGTGGAGTGGGGATGTGCAAGTAACCAAAACCATAAACGAAATATACGATTGGCAGAATTTCAAAGTCCTAAAAAACACAGAGATCAATGATAATCTTATAGAATAGAATCACAGGGCTGTAGAATTATTTTGTAACAGCTAAAGGTACTTGCAACACTTTGAACTAATATTGTCCTACTAAATTTACAATTTAGTTCTAAACTGCTTGTGCTGTTGAAGATAAAAATCCTTTTTTAAAAAATACTGCTCTTCCATAGTAACACCGTTTTACCCATACTGTGGAGAGTTATGTGATGTTAACTGAAATAATTCCAGTCTTATTTCATACAGTTCTTATCTGTGCATTCCTCTGTCTCTTTTCTCTTTTGGGTGTTTTGCTCATACTGAACTGACTCTTCCAATGCAGATGGCATACAAAAAAGAATAATGCCATCATGTCCTGCATGCATCTGACAATACCAGAACTAAAATTCAAGTAGGAAATATACTTAAAAAGGTGAATATGGTAGTTACTGGACCAAGCTAATGGGACCCTGTGCAAGTGGAACTGGCACCTTTGTGAGCTGACCATGGTTGTTGTTGAGGTGCAGACTTGAGGTGCAGCTGAAAGTCATCATTTTGGTACTTTCTGTATTGCTTCCCAGAGCCCGGTGAAGAGATTGTATGTTTTTTGTCCAAAATATTCTTTTTATTCCTCCTTCCTTCTCCTACACTAGTGCCCAAAGCTATACTAATATGTAGCACAGAGAAACAATGTCTTTTTAGCCTGTTTTACAGTAGGACATTGGCACATCTGTGCCCCTAAACCCCCCTGACTTGTCCTAACTGTAGGTCTATCAGTTCATCAGTTGTCTGTCTCCACCCTCTAAATACCTAAGTAGTGATTATGTGTTGAAGCACAAACTAGACTTTTAAAATATTTCAACTACTGTACTTCACAAAAAAACCAGAATTTGAAAGATTTTCATCCTCTGAAGAGGCTGACATACATAAAATAGGTTGAATATTTGAACTGAGTGAAGGAAAACTATATTAATACAAAACCACTGAGACATTTAGAGATGGCTAACAGAGAGGAATGTAACAGGAAAAAGGCTATTCATAGGGCTGGATGTGTTGAAATGGATATGTGTATGTTAGTGATACATGTATTAGAATACACATATATGCATGTTTTTCAAATGAACATAAATGAAAACAAGTTTGTACTGGAAACATATAGGGAACAGAGGATGGTCCCAAAATACAGCTTATTTCAAGTATCACCACAAATTCAACTAATTCAAAATACAAAATTGATCACATAAACTTTTCACTTTCCAAATGAACAATCTCTTTCTTCCAGCAGACTGTTGTGATGCCTTAGTTATTTTTTTTTAGAGATGGTGAAGTCTATGGAGACATACAATACACGTGAAGATAGGCAGACTCAGTAGTGAACATGATCTGACTGCTCAAGGCAATGGTCTTCCTTTAGGTTTTCTTATACACAGTGCTAAGGATGTGGCCTAAAACCAACATAAATTCATGAAAAGCCCAAGCAATGGAGCACTAAACTTCTTGCACTTCCAGGAACTATAAACTGTCAAAGTGAGTTAGTAATGGACAGGTTTTATGAACAGAAAAACACCAGTTAGGAAATCTAACAGTCAGTTCATATTACGAATTAGACTAATAATCTGTAATATAATATTGATTTTAGGAATTAAAATTCTAATTTCTAAAGGGCCAATGAGAAACTATAATTTAGTTGAACGTTCTCATTAAATAAACTAGGCTTGACTAAGCAGTGCTCATACATGTGCTTAACTTCAGATAAACAAGCAGTTTCCACAATTAATCATGGTCAGTATGTTTTACAATGTGAATGTTTGCAGCTGTCTTGAAAAAAAGAACGAGAACAATTGTGAATCTCTGGTTGCAAAAAAGGCCCAATAATCTGAAAATCTTGATTTCTATGATGGCACAATTATTCTGCATCATTAATGTAAGTCTAAAAACATTAGAGATGCTCTCAAATAACAGCTTAACCATTCTGTTTCTAATAAGGGAAATTATCTTGACATAGTTAACAAAAATCTTGCCTACGAATCCTGAATTAAACTTTATTATGTTACACTTTAATGAGTTTCAAGTTTCGTGAGGGCCCGAATATTCAACTAGAACATAGCCAGGACTTTAGTGATCAATTTCAAGTGGTTCAAAAGGAACAGAAAAAAACCTTCTAACACATAACAAGAGCATGATCTTCTAAATAGTTATATACATTTAATTTTAATTAGAAATGAACTTTCCTTCTTTCTTGTGACAGAACAAAAAGTATCAATGTCATATCATGCCCAGAACTGAAGAATCAAGTGAGCAGGACCTTGTTCCTGGCTCTTCACTGAACTCTGGAGATGACTGAAGCCAGAACTGCTGAAACACAGGCTAGCCTGTGAGTATGTGAATATAACCTTCGAGTCAAATGGGAAGACTCAAGTGCTGGGCTGGATCATACTCTTCTCCCGTGTGTGTCTCAACTTCACATTTGCAAAATCATAACAATATTTTCTTTCCTCTTGAGCGTCGTCCATGTTGTCTGCTTAGGTTGCGATCCTACAGCAGGGATGATCTCTGACTCTCTC